TCTCTCTCTCTCTCTCTCTCTCTCTCTCTCTCTTATTGTAGGTGAAGCACATATTTGACGACTGTGTGAAAAAGCTAACCGGTCGGCCAGTAAACAAAGCTCAGCCCCGTGTATGCAACTATCACACCACCAAAAAGGGTCAACAGCTAGACAACTGTAAGAGCGTTGCCTACCGGGACAGGCGCTACACCATCCGGGAGATAGTGGCCAAAGAGCACAAACACATGGTGAGAGAATGTGATGGTCATCTGCAATTTACTAAGGTGTTATTTGTTGGTGTAATATTAATTGGTGTAATTACAATTTACATAGTGGTGCGTGATGAAAGTGGCCCGACCCCTAGGCTGGGAGCACCTGTGCTCGCCCGGCCTTCCGCCCCAACGCCGGTCAGCCGTCCGCCGTTGCGACGACCACTTCAGAGAAGTTAGTTAATCAAGCTAATTTTATCATGATGATTTATTTAATTGTGATTAACGTAATTAATATGCCAGTTTATTAACCATGCTCATAGATAACCGACCCAATAGCCCAGTGCCATAGCCAGGTGTTTGGCGCTAAACATGATGGCCGACCCCTGGCTTGTAGGTCGTTTGAGCATTTTACCGAGGTTAGTGATTATTGATAACGTGGTTAGTTTTTTAATGTTAATCCTATGGTTAATTAGTTATGGCAGTGTCTGGAGAGGAAATCTGAGGCAAAATTCAACGCAAATCCCAATAAATTGAAAGAAACCGAAGAAAAGACATACAAATACATGGATTGTCTCAAGGATTTGTCCCATTAAGCACACATTTTTGTACCTTGACACTTATTTATTTTTAATATATTTACAATACACTTATAGAGTTATCACAATAAACACTTTTACTCATTCAGGGATTGTCCGGGAGTTTAGATATGGATTATTAATAATTTTATATTTTATTTTTATACAAGTTTTATAACAATTAATAAATAAATAATTTATTGTAATTGTGTTTATAATACGAAATACTAATTACAATACAAACGATTACAAGCGATATATCAATTGAAAAATATAAATAATTGTTAAAATTCCAGATATACTGCAAATTCGTGAATAGACTGATGAATGTAAATAATACCACGAGTGGACTGTTGTTGGTATATATCGCAAACGTTGCCATCATTAGTATAGGTATGCGTAGCATATGTTGGGCACAGATTGTGACCTGGCTCATTTTTGTAAACCAATTGTTATCATTGATATACACGGCATAATTATCAATGTCATTTAGGTCTGAGATTAGCAAGTATAAAGTTTTTAAAAATACCACCATTAATAATAAGTTTGCTACCACTTTTAGAAGTACATTTATCACTTTCATTGTTTAAAATTAATAGTAAAAAACTATTATGTTCTGTATATTATAAAATACAAATTATTCAAAAATATTTATTTGTAGCAAACACATAAAAATGTGTTGTTTATTCACTTGTTTATACAGTTTGAATGGCAGTAACATTTAGATTATATTTTTTTAATTCAATTAAGAAAATAATTTAATTTTTCAAGTTTTATAAAAGTAAAATCTAAAATATTTTAATAAAAGTATTATAATACTGTATTATAATTATAAGTTAAAAATGATTATCATTTTATATTTGTTACACAATTAATTGTGAGAAAATATATTCATTAAAAACATAATCATTTCCTTTCATTATGTCATTCACAACATTCGCAAAGTTGGGATCAGTTGTCACACAATTGCTATCAATAGACCACTCATTATATGATTGCAATACTTGTCGACAATCGGGTCTATCATTCGGTTTCAATGATTGCATAGAAATCAACACTTTTTGTAATTCAGTCACAGAATTGCATAAATTTTTATCCGACAAATACAATTGTAAACTAAAAATAATACAATAAAATTTAATTAATAAACAACTCACACACAGCGATGTTATACGTTAACCACAATTCGGAAAATGCATCAAAGAGTTTAAATTTTTCAATACTATTTTTAATGTTTTTGACAACAATTTGTTTGATTTATTATATCGGATTCATTTATTTGTTGCATTATCCAATTGAAATAACATTACTCTTATGGACTTAGCATTACCCATGTTATCCCCATGCCATAGACTTAAGCTGTAATCCCATAGAAACTCATGTTAAAGAGTCACATGTTAATCCTATGAGAGCTATCCTATGTTAATCTTATGTCATAGACTTAAGCTGTAATTCAATGTTAAATCCCATAGAGCGGGGGCCGGGTGGGTGGAGAATGCAGCACGATCCGATAAACCACATTATTCATACTGAATTGTGGTTAAAAATTTAATAATAAGTTACCAAATGTAATTCACTAATTATATACTCTAAATTTTAGAGTCTAAAATATACTCACAATTTAGGGGGTAATTTAATATCAAATATTATTTCTCCGATTTTGGCCGCACTGTAAATGTCTGTCTTGTAGTCAACTGATTGTCCGTTAAATTCTTCGGGCGATAAATATTCGGGATTTCTATTGTCTGACAGACTCTTAAAGACATGACTCAAACCAAAGTCACATAATTTCAAACACAAATTCCCGGCTTTGCCTCCGATTAACACATTCTCGGGTTTGAGGTTTCGGTGAATCACTGCTGGACTCAAATCATGCAAATATTGTATGCATTTCAACAGTTCTTTAAATATTTGACACGATATATAAAACTCTGACGAATTCATGGCCTCTGCGGCCGATCGGCGGCCAAATGCCGGGCCTATGAGTGACAGTACTGTCTGTAAACTGTGTGGACACAACTCCATTCGTATATAATATTTGTTGTTTTCAAACCACGTATTGTAGTATTGGACCACATTTTTGGCACAAATGTTTGACAATTTGTTCATTGTTTCAATTATATTGAAATCATGATCTAACAAAAAATAATTTTGAATTTTAAATATAAAAATTTATTCCTCATTAATTACTTAAAGCTTTGTTTTTTTCAATATTAATTTTGACGTAATTTTACTCACAATTAATAACATCTATAATTTTAACCGCAAATTGATTTCCATTGTATCGATTTTCAACTTTGAAAACAGTACCAAAACATCCCGAACCCAATTCAGACAACACTTGGTAAATACGGTTATAATGAATTAATCTTTTGTTATTTTGATCTAAAAAAGTAAATTAAGTTAAAATATTTATAACTAATTTTGATTAATATTTTCAAATTTATACCATTTTTTAATTGTTTAATTATGACAAACATTTCGTGAAAAAAATCACAGCATTTTTTATTAAATGCCTCCAACGAGTAGTTATAGTCTTTATAATGACACAAATGTATTGTTTTAAAAGTCATTTTCATTTCACTTAAATAGTAATCAAATAGATTTGTGTAATTAGTTTCACAAAATTTATTTGACGACTTAATTAAATATATTTTATCACTTGTTAGGAAAATTCGTCGATATATTCTCTCTTGTTTTGATAAAAGCGCATATAAATTGAGCATGGTTAGATTATTATTATCAATCAATAAATTAGTATGAATTGAACGTATATTGTTATCGTCAAAATTTTGTCCACAAAAATATACAAATCCATTGTTTGTTAAATAATATGTTTGATTACCAGTTGGACACACGGTTTGAACGTTAGACAAATTATAAACCATTTGTGGTTTAAATACATTCTTAAATAAATTGTGTCCCAAATGGCCCTCATTTCGACCCCAACTGAACAGTTGGCCATCAGTTGTGACGGCAAACGAAGAATACTCACAACAATAAACAATACGTATTTTATATTCAATCCCATTGTCTATAAATTCTATTTGTATGGGAGTTATGACTTGAGTCGAGTGCTGTTCCCCACAACCCAACTGTCCATAAATATTATAACCCCATCCGTAGACACAGTCATCAAAAGTAACCACAAGTGAGTGATAATAACCACAACTAATATCACGGATAACAGGATTATTAGGCAATGAAATGATGTATGGCTTTAAATATTCAAGAGTGGGTAATTGCACTAACTGTACCCCTTCATTACGACCCCACCCGTGTATACAGTTGTTGTCATTAATAGATAAAACAAAATCCAATCCACAAATAAATTGTTGTATATTTTGTTGACACAATTCTGGTATAATATGTGGTGTATTGACCGCCCAATTGTGTCCCAAACCGAGTGATCCGAAATAATTAGATCCCATGCCGTAAACCATATCATCATTTGTTATAAACAATACATTAAATCCATTGTAATCATCGAAAACATGAAATAACTTAATTGTATTGATGTCCACATGATTTTCAATCTTAATTACTTTGCTATTTGCCATCTCTCTGTCCCTCACTTTCTCATTATTTCCCACATTTCGGCCCCTATTTAAAACGGCTCTTAACCTTCTGATACTACCCATCCTTTTCGGGGCCGATTTGATCACACCTTTGACCGAACCATTGCCTCCCCTTTCAGATCCATGCATTTCATGCGCCCGACTGTCGGAATTCATGTCATTTCTGGCCGTTTCGACCCCAGACTCTGCGCCCGAATCTCGATTGTAATCTGTGTTTAGTAGCGGACGCGTGAGGATTGATGGACGCGATCTATTAGATTTAGTAAATCTACCAAGGTCTATTGTCGCAAACTTATTTTTCGTAAATTTACCACACTTATTAAGCGCTGTATTATCCAATTTCTATTTAATCAAATAAATAACATAATTATAAGTGTAAAAATTTAACAAGTTAATTATTTACACTTTACTTAGCTAAGTTTAACTCTTTCTTACCTCGTTGTTAATGGGTATGCTCGAGAGGTCACCTGAGTTATTGCATAAGTTATTATCACCGGAAGCATCGACATAATTTAACTTACAAGTAATAAACTCGTAGAAAAATTGATTGTCATTTGCTTGAAGTGTACGCAACATTGAATTAAATTCAGTTTCGCTATTTGTAATTAACTGTTTATCAACTGACCATTCTGAATATTTCATAAGCACTTGAGTACAGTCCGGTCGTCTGACATAGGACGATTCAAGCATTGGATAAATAGCATCATATAATTTAGACACGTTTGTCGAGAAGTTAGTGTCAGTATATTTATCCAAAGGACTTAATAAAAATAATGTTAAATGTTACATATTGTTAAATACAATTAGATTATGCAAATTACTTTTTATCAAATATGTTTCTTAACGCAAGTATTCCCAAACTATAAATATCGACTTTAACCCCGTAGTGACTGGACGATACATCGGGTGCCATATATGCTGGTGACCCGACATGCTGTGTATGGCTCATACATGTCTTGTCGTGATCAATGGCCAGACCAAAGTCACACAATTTAATGAATCTATTGTCTATATTATTGTGCGATATTAATATATTATCAGGCTTTATATCTCGGTGAATCATCGGTGGCTTAATAGTATGAATATATTGCAGACATTCTAAGATTTCCCGAAATATTTCGCAACAAACGAAGTACTCGTAAATATTCATGGCTTGAGTCGATTGTCTGCCAAACACTTGTTGTTTGACTTCAAGCACAGAGCGAAGTGTTTGCGGGCAGTACTCCATTTGAATGTACAGTTTTTTCCATTGTCTCCACGAAGCGTAATATTTAACAACAAAAACTGAGTCCAATTTTTTCAGACTATCCACTTCTCTCCACTTTCTTTTAATTTCTTCACTTAAACCTTAAACATTATGATTAATATATTTAAAAATTCAAAAAAATATTTCACAATATTTTATTTACCTTCTAGTTTTATTTTTTTAACGGCATATATCTTATCATCCAATATATGCTTTACTTTAAATACTGTTCCAAAAGTACCCGAACCAATGACTTCAGATTCGGTGAAATCTCGCCTAAAATTAATATCATTTTTTATACCCTTGACCTTCCTTACAACGGAGAGCATGATTATGATATTATTTAAGCGTTAATAATTAAAAACTACAAATAATCATTTATATAAAATTACTTAATATTAAAGAATATAACAGTTTGTTGTACTTATAAAAACTATATATTTTTTATATCAGCGTTTTTACTGCAATTTTCAAATTTAAATACACTAATAAACGGACAATAATAATAATAATCGTTAAAAATGAAATTTCAATAGCAATCCATTACATATGAAATACAATTACCTATGAAATCAATTATATCCATCACTTACTTGTTAGTTGCCTTTGAAAATACTATTAGATATGTGTGGGTGAAATGATAAACTGATTTAGCTCATATTTGTATTACCAAAGTATATGTACATTTCTATTAGGCTTTACTTTCATTATCAAAAGATAAATTGGTCTTGAAATTGAAATCTATGATAAAACTGTTTACTTAAAACACAAGTGAATGCTTATTAATGATAAGTTATAATATTATTGGATTAAATGATAATGAAGTGTCTTGAGCAATTTCTAGTGTAGCTAGAATTATGAAATTAGTTTCATAATTTAAGTTGACATCCTTAGGCACCAGAATTCAAGTTTCATTAAGATTGGATGAATAACTTTTGAACAGGAATTTTTCAAAGTGTGTCACTCATTTTAATGTATTCCTATGGGAAGGGGTCCGTTTTTGTGTTTAGCGATGGTTGAAATCATGGTTAAATTGATCATGATCAAATACTAATAGAGATACTATAAAACCCTTCCTCTTCTGAGACCTTTATTATTCAATGTATATAACAGTATGTTATTCATTGGCCAACATTGACCGCTACCCCAACTGTGGCCACACAAAAATCGGTGAT